GTGTTGTTCTCTTCTGTAATTCTGTTTTGTTGTTCTTTGGTTCTGTTATTTTGTTCTGTTCTGTTGTTCCTTTCTGTCATGTTGTTCTGTTGTTGTGTTCTGTTGTTCTCTTCTTCTTGTTTTGTCGTTCTGTTCTGTTGTTCAGTTCTGTTGTTCAGTTCTGTTGTTCTTTTAATCTGTTGTTTTTTGTTCTGTTGTTCTTTTACTGTTGTTCCCTTCTGTTGTTCTGTTGTCGTTTTCTGTTTTGTTCTGTTGTTCATTGGTTCTATTCTGTTGTTCTCTTCTTTCATTCTGTTTTGTTGTTCTTTGCTTTTGTTCTGTTGTTCTTTTCTGTTGTTGTGTTCTATTGTTCTCTTCTTGTCATTTTGTTATTGTTCTGTTGTTCTGTTCTGATGTCTTTTGTTTCTGTTCTGTTGTTCTCTTATTCTTGTTTGTTTGTTCTTTGGTTCAGTTCTGTTGTTGTTTTGATCTGTTCTGTTGAGCAGGAACCTCATGACCCTCCATACATGACGTTCTTCTAAAAACATCTTTAGGTGTCGTCCCTCAGTTACATCATGTCAAACGGCAGCAACTCGTGATCATCGTAACGTTTGAATCAAACAGCTGAAGTTAGCTGTTAGCTTTCAGAGTGTGTGTTAGGGAGGACTCTCTGCTACTCCCACACCCAGGTTCAGCTAAATATCTCTAAAATTAACCAAGTTACACACATTTTTTGTTATTGCTAGTTTTAACTAGCATTTAGCTATTGTTGTCTTTTAACTAAAGTTTAGCTACTTTTATTTTGAGCTAAAACTCTGCTTGTTTTTAGCTTTGAGAACTCAGTTGTAGCTTCTTTGGCTAATTTCAGCTAGCTTCAGCTGTCAATCAGTCCGTGTCTGACTCAGAAGGTTCAATATTTCTGTTTTCACCTGATCCTGGTTCTGGTTCTGGTCCTGGTTTGGTCCTCTGCAGGCTGGTGTTTTGGGTCGGGGATAAGGGCCCATGTGGAGATCAGGAAACTTTTTCTTTTTTTTATGTGTGGCCTTCCTCTCTCCAGCTTCCTGCGTTGACCCGATGACCTGCTTCAGCTTCAGAACCGGGGCTCCTCTGAGGGTTTTATGGGTTCTGGTTGGTCTGAGCAGCACCGGGTCAACAGGAAGTGGACCAGGAGCCTCAGTGTTGTCTGTAGGTGCTTTTTGCAGCCCTGCCTCTGAGAGTAAGCCGTACAAACTCATAAATGGGGTCTTTGTTTGACTCCTGCCCGGCTCAGAACCCGACCTCTGAGCGACCCGGCCCGGTTCCTGAAGCGTGTTGTTTCTGTGTCCCCCCCCCAGCTTCACGGCTACATGGAGAGCGAGCCGCTGACCCTGCAGCTCTTCATCGGCACCGCCGACGACCGGCTGCTGAGGCCCCATGCCTTCTACCAGGTCCACCGCATCACGGGCAAGACGGTGTCCACACCGAGCCACGAGGTCCTGCACAACAACACCAAGGTTCTGGAGATCCCGCTGCTGCCGGAGAACAACATGCGGGCCATGTGAGTCGGATCAGAACCTGCTGGAAGAGCTCACATGTTCCAGATCTAAAACTGGAGAAACCAAGTCGAGCAAATTCAGTCTGGGTTTAACAAACACAAACTTCTGAATAAATTATTTCAACTAAAATTTAATTACAGGTCCACTGGGCCCGGACTGGACTGGAGACCTCTCAGCAAAGCCTGAGCTCAAATCGCTCGGCAATACGCTGGTGAAGATATCAGTCATCCAGCACTTGGTAAAAAGACAAAAACAACTGGTCTTTATTTATAAAGCAGCTTTAGGATGGATACCAGCCAGTTTCACACCTGATGGGACCAGAGGGGCCACATCTGTGAATTAGAGGAACAAAGACCTTAACAAACCCCTACTGTGAGGTGTGATAGGACAGTCTGCATATGTATGTATGTACCTTATCTCAGCTTTATAAGTCGAACCCCACACTCTCTGTTCTTTGAATTGAGAAAGCTTCTCGGATAAAAATCGAAACATCTTCTGTTACAAATAATGTCCAGTTGTTTTTGTCTTGAACTTTTTTGAACGGAGCCCAAGTCCAGATCAGCGAGTCCAAGGAGGCTCGATCAGACCCAACAGTCCCACAGACGGGTCTGGATGTGTCCCCCAGCTTCGTGTTTAGCTTGAAGGCTCAGTTTGGGTGAACGTCGGGACCTCGGGTCTTCGTGCTGCAGCCGCCGAGCCGCTCTGTGGAAACACGGCGCTCGTGTTCCTAAACACAGACGTCGGTTTAGTTTTTCTGCTGCTGGACCTCCGTCAGCCTTCGTGGTGTCCGAAGTCTTCCTCGGGTTTGGATTTGAACCCCAGACGGTGGTTTTTAACTGGATCGGGTTTCTGCAGAACCTCTGAGCGGCTGCAGCCTTTAGGACGAGACCTTTGTGGGTTTAATCACTCTGACGGGTTTAAACAAAGACTTAGCTTTTAGCTACTGTTTAGCTGGGGGGTCAGAGTGAGACAGAAGAGGACGTCTTGCTGTGATGAGGGAACAGCTGAAAAAAGAAGCTACTGTTTAGCTGATTTTAGCTCTTTGGTTTTAGTTTTTTTACTAATCCTAACTTTTAGTTCTGGTTATGCTCATTTTAGGTATCAGCAGCAGTTTGGCTCATTGCAGCTTTAGCTACTGTTTAGCTGATTTTAGCTTGCCAACAGTCTTTCAGCGCCCAATGTTCACACAGATTTAACACCGGAAATAAATGTTTGTAGTTTTTTCTGCTGGATTTGATTATTTTGGCTGCCGAGTTCAGCTTTAAGCTGAAACTAAGAGATGGATGTAACAGGTCCTCAGGGTTCAGGATTTCATGTCTGGGTGTCGTCTGCATAACAGAGAAGTTCTGACCCAAACAGAAGCAGGTTCAGGGTTTTTAAAAGGGGCCTGCAGCGGATCCTTGAGGAACTCCACAACCGTCAGATGGTTTTGTTTTTTGATTTTTCGTCTGGCACTGAGCGGGTGCTGAGCGGGCGCTGAGCGGACGCCTCACCGCGGGTCCTGATTGCTTCAGCAGTGCTGCTCAGAGGAATGTGGCGGAGGCTTCATGTGTGCAAACTTTAACTGGACTTTGAGGAATGCAGCTCAAAGCTGAAAACCAGAACCCGTTTGAAAATGTTGACAGAATGAAGTTGAGACGAAACGTCTCGAGGCTGATTGTGGCTCTGACATGATGAACAGGTCCAGTTTTCTGTTCAGGTTCTGGTTCCTCCTGACGGAGCACAGCCTGAGAGTCTGTCCAGAACCGAACCTAATGTCCCGTTTTCACCCACAGAATCGACTGCGCTGGAATCTTGAAGCTGCGGAACTCCGACATCGAGCTGAGGAAGGGCGAGACTGACATCGGTCGGAAGAACACGCGTGTGCGGATGGTTTTCAGAGTCCACATCAACCAGTCCACCGGCAGGACGGCGTCCCTGCAGGTTGCATCCAACCCCATCGAGTGCTGTGAGTAGAAAAATGTCCCGTTCAACCGCCCCTGAATACTGGGCCTAACGCAGGGCACTGCAAGAAAATGGGTCAGAACTTGTTAATGCCAGCCGTTAAATTAAATGTAGATGTTTAGATAACTGAGGTCATTCAAGAACTCGGCACAAACAAGTGAAATGTTCATTTATTTATATTGTTTTCCACAGATCACTGTGTAAAAAAGTCTGACATATCATTTTAACAAACCCTTCCAGTATTTCTCCAGCTCAGTCCCGATGGACGTAACAGGTCCTCAGGGTTCAGGAGTTCATGTCTGGGTGTCATAACAGAGAAGTTCTGACCCAAACACAAGCAAGTTCAGAGTTTTAAAAGAGGCCTGAGGCAGATCCTTGAGGAACTCCACAACTGTCAGATGTCACATGAAAGGAGAAATTATTACATTTAACGAAGAAGAAGCTACCATATCAGGAAATCGAGAACGGCACGTTGTTAAACCTGGACCTGATCTCAGAGGATGTATAAAAACCAAAAGCTTTTCCAAATTCTTTTCAGAGCTTTCTGGACTTCACCCTCACTAATCTTTCCCACTTCCTGGTCCACAGTTTCTATGACCTCTGCTCTTCTTTCTCTTTCATTCTCTTCATTCATTAGCTCCTCAAAGTACTCCTTCCATCTTCCCGTCACACTCTCCTCACTTGTTAGATCATTACCATTCCTATCTTTACCAAGTCTAACCTGCTGCACATCCTTTCCAGCCTGATCCCTTTGTCTCACCAATCGCTACAAGTCCTTCTTGCCCTCTTTAGTGTCCAGCCTCACATACAACTCATCATACACCTTCTGCGTTGTCTCAGCTACTTCCCTCTTTGCTCTACGTCCCATCTCCTTATCTTCCTGTCTCCTCTCTTCAGTCCTCTCTCTGTCATATTTCTTCTTGGCTAACCTCTTTCTTTGAACATCTTCCTGCACTTCACTATTCCACCACCAGGTTTCCTGATCATCCATTCTCTGTCCAGATGACACACCAAGTACCTTCCTACCTGTCTCTCTAATTACTGTTGCTGTAGTAGTCCAGTCATCTGGAAGCTCTTTCTTACCACCCAGAGCCTTTAACAGCTCCTCTCTGAATTTCTCACAACATTCTTCCTTCTTCATCTTCCACCATTTGGTCTTCTTCTCTGATTTGACTCTTTTCCTCTTCTTCACAACAACAGTCATTCTACACACAACCATCCGATGCTGTCTGGCCACGCTCTCCCCTGCCACAACCTTACACTCTCCAGTCTCCCTCAGGTTTCCTCTTCTACACAGAATGTAGTCGACCTGCGTACTCCTTCCTCCACTCTTATAGGTCATTCTATGCTCCTCCCTCTTTTGGAAACAGGTGTTGACTACAGCCATTTCCATTCTCTTGGTGAAATCCACCACCATCTGTCCTTCCTGGTTTCTTTCCATGACACCAAACCTACCCATCACTTCCTCATCCTCTGTTTCCTTCACCAACATGTCCATTCAGGTCTGCTCCATCACCACTCTCTCCTCCCTGGGAATACTCTCCATCACTTCATCCAGATCTTTCTCCTCCACATCACATCCAACCTGTGGAGCATAACCACAGACAACATTTAGCATCAGACCTTCTACTTCTACCTTCAGACACATCACCCTATCTGACACTCTTTTCACCTCTACTACATTCTTTGCCAACTTCTCCTTCAGGTCCACCCCTACTCCATTCCTCTTTCTATCTACCATGGTAAAACAGTTTGAACCCTGTTCCAATGCTGCGAGCCTTGCTGCCTTTCACTTGGTCTCTTGGACACATAAAACATCTACCTTCCTTCTCAGCATCATGTCAGCCAGCTCTCTACCTTTGCCTGTCATTGTCCCCACATTTAGAGTTGCAACCCTCAGTCCTACATTCTTCACTTTCCTCTTCTCCTCCGTCTCCTGACACGTTTCTCTCCTCGTGGTCTTCAAGTAACATTAACAGTTTCCGCCGGCACCCTGTTTGTCAACAGCACCGGTGGAGGTCCTTGTTAACCCAGAACTCGACTGATCCGGTCTGGTTTCGCTTTGATGAACTCGCATTATAGTTTTGGTCAAAGTGTTTTACATCGGATGCTCTTCCTGACACAACCCTCACCATTTACCCGGGCTTGGGACCAGAACCAGAGATACACTGGCTTGTGCTCCCTAGTGTCTCAGCTACTACCACACCAAATATTAGGTCGGTATCTGTAAACCTGACCGAGGTTTAAATGTGTTGGTCAGTTGCTGCAGCGGCCATCTTGAATTGGGATGACTCAAACAAGGAAATCAGTCGTTGACGAACATCTAATAATTACATTCTGAATG